CCCCCCCCCCCCCCTTTGGTTTTTTTTTTTTTTTTTTTTTTTTTACAAAAATGTCAAATTATGAAATTTCGAGACCAAAAAAAAAAAAAAGTGTCCGCTTACCCCCCCCCCCCCCCCCCCCCCCCCCCCACTGAGCGACTTTTCGGCCGGCGCGATTTTCAAATTTTCGGGAGCAAAATATTTTAAAACCCCCCCTTGAAAAATCCTGCGTACGCCCCTGCGTCCCCTATGTGTTACCGGGCCTTTAGCAAGGCAGCCACTGCGGCGCTCTAGCATTTCAAGGAATTAATTCGTGCCAGGTAACCATTTCAATCACCTGGGTTGAGTGTGGCAAATGAAGAGTAATGTCTTACAAAAGATTATTAGTGCCGCGGCGGGACTCGAACCGCGGACCTTAAGATCCACAGTCTGTCGACGTATCCACTCGACCACGACACCTCTATAAAATAACATTTTATATACAATAAAATTTCTTTTTTACTCGCTCGCTTCGCTCTGTCGCAGATTTTAGAATCAGGATGATTTCAGGCCTGTTTTAGCAATAGAGTACCCGAATATATATTGATTGAAAATTATCCATTATACCTTTAAAAATCAAACGATGAAAGTGTCGTTTTTTCCTTTGGCTAAACTCGGTGTTCAGGAAGATGATAATCCCGTGCAAGGTGATACCTTCAAATCCTCATATTCGGGTATGGAGGTAACGGAGTGTATAATTTGTGTATACTTTCAGTCATTTGTATAGCGAGATGTCCAAATGTATTATTTTATGTTTCATGTTGTGTCGAGTTCGAGTTCGACTCCCACAGCGGCACTTATGTCCTTTGGCCATACATTAATTGACATTGCCACCCTCGACCCAGGTGATGTAAATGGGTACCTGGCAGAAATTAATTCTTTAAAATGGTATACAAACAGAAATGTATTAATAAGTTAATTAATAAACAATTAAAATTAAAAAGGAAGAATCTAGGCATTCTTGTTCTCCGTCCCCCTATTTTCGTTTACCAAATTGCACGTACCCCATGTGCCCCCCCCCCCCTAACCTAGCGGACCTACTTGCCCCTTGATATCAAATCAAGTACATTTCCATCATCTTCATGACAGGGATCGTGGATTGGTTTCCAGCGATCTGGCTCATCCTGGAGATGGACTGATAAATCTGCATTCGACTTTAATGCCTGGAAGATTGGTAACCCAGACAACGGAGCAGATAATAAGTGTGTCTTCATTCCGCCAAGACCCTGGAGTATAGGCACCTGTTCTGACGCATCAAAAAGTCTGTTTTTTTTCCTTCCTTGTCTGACTTGGCAAAAATGTTTCCTCATGTCGACTCGTGAGTCATGGCCTGTCTCTATCTCTCTCTCTCTCTCTCTCTCTCTCCCTCTCTGCCTCCCTCACACACATTCACACACACAAACACACACGCACATATATTTTCCCCTATCCCTCTCCCCTTCTATATATCTTTAATAGCTTATAGGCTACTAAGGTGTCTTCGAAACTCTTTACTGTTTTTCAGGCTCGTAATAGAATCTTCCAATTTATCATTATCAGGAGATATAATGGAAAGGTAAAGAATGAACACAATGAATAGGCTTTTCTATCGCTCTACTTTCTTTCCTTTAAACTGAGTTCAATAGATATGAACTTCGCAATACACAACTATAAAGTTCGTTTCTAAAAACAACAAAAAGAAATCCCGAAGGGGGTTAAGGAGATATGAATAAACGCATCATCTAAAATTAAAAAAAATACGCTGTTTATTAGAATTACATTCAAGTGTTGTTTGAAAGTTGAATAAATAATGGGTAAAAATTTGATTTATATCCAATACATAGAGTAAGCTTAACTTGATTTTTGTTTACTTCTTCGTTTGTAGGACTCAGTTGGAAACAAACGGAATCATGGTCATCATTATCTGTATGTATCACATATGCTTTCAATCATATGTTAACTGTGCTATTTAAATTTGATAATTTATTTCATTAGATTAGTTTCGGGCTGTCATATTTTTAAGCAACTTGCTTACAATTACAATCCTTCTTCTTCAAATCATGTTATAGGGTTAGATGAAATATGATAATTTGACAATTAATCCTCTGATTTTATTCTTAATGATTATAATGTTTTTTTTGCATATTCATGTTTGATTGTCAAAGTATACTAATTGTTATTTTATGTAAAGTTGATACCGAAATTTCTATATTTTATATGGATGCAATAAAATGCAATATTGTGATAATTTAAAGACATGGTCACCTCAACGAATAAGTGTAGGTACACTGGAAGATGAGTTTTTACGTGCCTATTGATGTACAATATTCCTTACGGGAGTGTTCAAGAGTTATATAAATTGAAATATACCTGGCATTATGTAATTAATTAAAATGACATTGGCGCAGCCATTTTCTTTATGATGTGACGTACCAGGCGAACAAGTACATGTATCATGCACCAAGCACTAGTTGGAATTACATATAATTCAATAACAATACCTTTTCATTGATGGAGAATCATGGTTGACAATTTGGTGACAAATCTATAACCGGTGAACAATTGTAACCAATTTATTTAAAAATTAAATGATTACAGCAGTTGTCTATAAATCTTCATCATTTAAAAGTATGTCAAACTTACACCCAAGGAGAGCAACGAATTATTCATGCCATTGTCGTTCTGACAATAGGCCATTTTTGTAATGTAATCAAATTAAATGTACAAATTTTTCTTAAGTGTCTCATTGAAAATCATTTATTAACCTGGTACAAATAATTATATTTCAAAAATAATGAATTAAATAGCATATTTTACGTGTTGTAAGGTAAGACGTATCTTAACTAGCAATAATTAATGCATGCAATTCGATAAAAGCGGGTGAATGAAAATGTCATCACCGCACGCACACACGCACACAAACATTCGTGCTGAGAAACTCTGCATTCTGCTAAATTTATACCTTTCTCGTAATGTACATTTTGGTTTGGAATCCTGTAGATTATTAGGCGAGAATACAATAAATATCTCAGAATACCTTAAAGACCGTCACCACTACTGGGCAAGAAGGGATTAGACCACACAGCGAGCCAGCGAGGTCACTGTGACAGGTGGCTATCTCATTAACTCAGCTCTCATTTAACATAAGAAAAAGAGGATCATGGGGACCAACAGGCACCGATTGGGAAGTTTTCTATATAGAGGGAGCAAGTAGCTACAAGTATGGCAGTGTGCCTTTAAGTTATCTCCTGTAGTGAGATTTCCTTAACCCTAATAAGGCCGGGGCATAATGCCCCCCCCCCCCTATCGAATTTCTGCCGCTGCATCAAACCCCTGAACCTTTGGCGTGGAAAGTTTTTTCCCTCATGTCTTCAGCACATTTTAATACCAAAAATAGGCGGACCTATGGTTCGGGTGTTAAATGACGAAATACATCACATGTCAATCAAAATATGGAATTCTCACAAATGTGCGTGTGTACGTATATTGCATTTATATGATCTTTATCAAAATCAATATCATGAGTGATTTATTTCATGTTATATTTCATTCATGATTATACTTATGTAGTATTGGCAAGGCATTATTTTATTCACATAATGAAATACATAAGAAATTAAAAACAATGCAATACATCAGATATTTGGTAATTATATTAGAAACTGACGCTTTTCACCCGCGAAATATTGTATAAACTATAGTTTCATATGAAAACAACATGAAGCAAACATATTTGTACCTGGATATGTGTTTATTTGTATGTTTGTATTAGAAACTATTATATTTCACTTGATAAATGTTATTACTAAACTAAAACAGCAATTTCAAATCAAATCTGCCCATGCATTGTTCAAAATCAAGCATTTTTGAAAATATCCACACAACAAAAACGCATAGGCTATTGTAATAAAAATATTAATTAAAACAAATCAATAAACATACAAAAAATAAACATTTTTGAACCATCTCATTCAATATACGTCAATATATCACCATGCAAATGTTTACATTAATTGGACCTTCCTAGGCCAAGATCTTGGGGGGGCATGATGCCCCCCCCCCCCCCCCCCGAGCGTATTAAGACCTCAAATAGCCTGGCCTTTTTAGGGTTAAACCTAGTTTATTTTAGACTCATAGGGAGAGAAGAAAACAATCAGTAAGCAGACTTTTATTTGAAATCCAACTTTCAGTTTTGTTTGCAATAAAGGAATAATGATCATAGATGAAGCGAATGGGGAGATTTGTGTGGTTCAAAGAGTTTGTCGGCATTTATGTAAACGAGTAATAGTTCAGATTTAACAAACAATAGAAGAAAACTTGTACAAACATCAGAAAATACTATTTCCTTATATATAGGAACATACACCTGCTTCTAAATCCACAAGGAAAATCCGGACAACGAAATACCAATTTCCTTGAGTTATTGATTCATTTGCAGTATAACAGAATAATATTAAAGGTATTTTACGTCATTAATCGTCCGCTGTAAATGTAAATAGACTGCGTCGGAATCGTAAGATAATGTAATACATGTAAAATCAAAAGCTATGATCAATGACTACATAAACAACAATATCAACAGAATACTTACATTGTTCAAACTCAAACTATCGCAAAGCCTTTCAAAACCAATCTTTTGCAATGTCAATAGGCTTTTCGAACCAAGTGTTGAAATGTTAAAACATGACAATGACACTATTACATGATCATAAACCTTTCTCTTTATACATTATAAGAGGGTAGTGAAATTGCCCATATTGTTTACGATCATTAAAAGTGACCATCTTTAGCGATTTTTATTTTAATCTTATTCACGACTTGTTTCTTCATGGTTAGTCTTTTTACGTCTGGATTATGCCTTCAAGCTACCGCATCCATTTCTGGCCATTGTTCTAAGAAGGTATTTTGGGAAGGAAAGTTTATCAAGGAAACTTCATGAACATAAAAGCAGGCGATCTGTCTATTTAAACCTTCAGTATCTCTGGGCTTTAATCAATTGTTGTCGAAACACTCCAAATGATGATGAATCGTTCTTGGTACCTTGCTTGTCTTGTATTTGGAAGTCTGGTGCTCGTGGTGCATCATGTCTCTTCCCAAGGTAAGTCTTTCATATACAGATAGTATAGTTGCCATGGTTATTATAACACAGCGTATTTAATTCATCGTTCATCGATATCTACTTCAGATATTATCTTCATTACTTAACCTCGTGGAGGGGTGTTGGCTAAGTGGTAGAGCAGTGTCGTAACCGGGAGATCAATGGTTCGAAGCCAAGTCACTGAGTATAGTTAATAAAGATTAACGTTTTCAAGGTCATTTTTTACTTTTTACAATATTGGACAGGTGATTATGTAATAAAGATGACGTTACATCGTGTTTACGTCAACGAAACGAAAATAGGGCAACTCATGCACTAACTAACGGTCTTCATAAGAAGTCTGTACGACATTCCGTTGTTGAGATATGATGGTCGAAAAACATGCATGAAAAACAACAAAATAGCGCCTGTAAGGTCACGTGACCACTTTTTCGAAAAAAATATCGACGTCATGATTTGGACTTGAACATCTTGTTATAAAATTTTATTGATTTAGCTCTTTCCACTATTGAGATATTTGCCGAACAAGTTTGCATAAGAGAATGAAAATGAATAAATAATATTAATAAAGAAGATAGAAGAACCTTGACGAAATTAAGCGGTAATCCTACGCGACGGATCACTTTATAATAATCTTCTGGAACCGCTCTTGAAACTTTTGTGTAAAGATAAAAGTATTATCGTGTAACCATAAGAAAGTGGAAACCTTTACGCCAACCCTCAATGTATATTCAGGAAGCGAGGTGGTATATATACATATATATATATGTACAATTTCATGATTTATCGATAAACTTACCCCCTCCCCCACCCCACTCTTGCCAACAGTTATATACACCGCTATGTACTTGGGAGTCAGGAGGCATACTATTCCAATCGTCCATAATATGTGTAACTTAGAAGAAAATGTTTATTAACAAACTTTGGGATATATATTACGATATAGGCAGGAAAGACAGCATTCGCCTTCAAGTCTCACAGGCCTGTTGCAAGCAGGATCGGGGCATTCCTTTGTAGAACACTCAGCTGTTCCGTTGTTACAAGTACATTGTGTACGGGTCTCGTTGCCAGACATCTTCGTGCAAAAAAAAAAAAAAATTGATAGCAACGATTTATAAATGTTGCTGAAATCGAATGATTTTTTTCTCCTGAGCTTCCGGTTGCTCTGCACCGTGGACCCCACCAAGGGGCCCCTGGTCACTTTTCTGACCTTAATTGAATGCCTAAAACCCCTGAGCTTCCGTGGGCTCTGCCCCCTAGATCCCCGGCAAAGGGCCCTAAGGCGGGCCCCTGGATGCTCATCTGATCTTTATGTTATGCCTAAAACCTCTGAGTTTCATGGGGCTCCTCAATTTTGCCCCTGGACCCCATTTATTTATGCTCCACTTGCTTTGCTCTCTTTGCTCTCTTTGCTCTACCTGATCTTAAATACTCTAGCCCCCCCCCCCCACTTTGAAAAACGTTCCGCGGGGCCTGCATTTAACATTAAAGAATGGTGGTGATGCGTATTTTCTTTGCCCCCCCCCTTCAAAAAAAGATCGCCCTGATTTATACACTTTGAAAAAATGACTAAATGTGTTGGAAAAAATGGCAATTTTTTTTGCCGCTACATCACAGAGATATTACCGATTCAGCAAACTTAAGAATCTCAAACCTATAGTCATATAACAACTTTCGAAAATCCTTTCTCATCTTTTCTCCGATTTCATTCAACTTTCACCAGTCTGCTTCCTTGATTTTTCTGCTTTCTTTTAGAGAAGTTTGCCATCAAAGTTGGATTTCCCTTTAACCAAACCATTTAACCACAGTGTGTGCATTTAAATTTAAATTCGATATTGGATGGAGCGAAATATTAAATCAAAATCTTACGACTGATTGCATGCTGTATTAATTGATGTACCGATTATAATTCATAATTGTTTACATTATTTCAACGAAATCTTACCTAATCTAGCCTGCATCGTAACGTAGTATCTAAAATACCTCTTCGTGTATACGTCTTATAACTTAGGATGCATTAATTTTTGGACAAAAATAAGGAGGACATTTAATGAATTTGTCAACCGAAACCCATACAACTGTATGCGAATTAAAATTTAGCTGTTCTCTGAATATTTCAATGGTTAGTGATTATTTACGGGAAAACTACACGCTATAGACTTCATTCTTCAACTTTTGTGATTTGCTCACAACCTTCTCAACAAGTCCTTCCGTCCTTTCCTTTCCTCTCCTACTCCAGTTTTACCTTATTGTTGGTGTAGGAACAACGAAAAAAGTAGTCTCGTATGAATTTCATTCAACGTTAAAGGTACTGTATCTCATTTGCAGCCAACATCAAATTCTGTAGAATGAAAAAATCATTCCATTATCATCTCTTTCCTTTCATTTCCATAATTCCTCTAAAAGCCCTATGAGCGGGTTCTATTGACGAAAGAATATTTTAACAGCCTTTTTCACTTTTGATCCTCCCACCGTAAAATGAATGTATTCATACGTCTACTAGCGTATACCGGTAGGGAAATTGGTTCAAAGTATCCATTTCCAGCGCATAATTACCCAGTATTATTTATTGGGAAAATATTTATTTTATATATTTTAATCATGTACATGTATCAAAATTTGATATTTTCAATTGAAATAATGAACCAATATTGGGGTTTTTACACATCATTTTCGCAAGCATTGTTCTCTCAAGTGAATGTGATTTTTCATATATGCTTTTGAATGTAATGTGAAAATGCTTTATACTATGAAACTTATTACTGATTTAATAGACTCTCTGCCTCATCTGTTTTTCAACTCTTTGAATCTACATAAATCAATATTTTACTCGTGCCGTAACTGTGTCTGTAAATTTGTATATATTATGGTTTTTGTTTTATTTTCTATAATTTTTGTTAAATTGCTTAAGTAAACCATATAATATTAACAAAGTTTTAATGGTCAGTGATCTACATTTTGCATGGCTATGAACTTCTCAGTAGCCCCTCCGCGTATCTCCATTACTTTGTTGTTCATGTTCTCAATCTTTTCATTTCTCTGTATTTTTTCTCAAATTATTGTTAATATTTGTCATAAACTTGTATAATATAAATAATATTTTGAAATTATAAAAGAATAATACCATTATTGAGTTGATTTGAATTGAACACTATAACCTAATTATTCGGTTCGAAAGGGCGAAGAAAAAGAAGAACTAGCAATATTTTGCTCTTTTAATTATTCCTTCATTTTTCTTTCGGAAATTAGAAGCTTCGTTTTGCTATAAAGAGCATCTGTGTACTGTTAACTTTCACGATTTTTCTTGTTGTTCTTATTATTGTTTGTACATTTCAATGAATAAATATATTTTTGGTAAAGTACTCCAATTATTGGAAAATTTGATCAATTGATATAAATTAGTCAATTCAAACTTGGTCAGCTTAAAAATATAAATCAGTCTTCCGTCGAAAATATCCATGATTACCATACTAACACTATTCCCATGATTTTTATCCGTTTCGATCGATCTATTTTAATTCTTTTTTTATTTTAGAGTCCATCAGCATCTCATCCGGCGAACCCAGTTACCCTTGTGTTTATCGTGGAATACCGTATCTTCACTCCGAGGTGTGGCGCGTTGACGAATGCACAACCTGTTCGTGTGATAACAGCAGTATAACATGCGTAATTGAATCTTGTCAACCGGTATTCTGCGTAGAACCCCTTAAACTGCCAGGAGGATGCTGCTTTATCTGTCCGTACGGTAAGTCTTCTGATAGCCCCCCCCCCCCACTCCCACCCGCCCTCTCATTAGACCATACCTATGTTGGAATGTGTCGCGAATTCACTAGTAAAATACATAAAAATACAAGTAAAATACGGCCTTGTCAATTATTACTGTGTTGCGAATCTGGGGTTTCCAAGTTGATCCGGGGGAGGGAAAGGAAATTATTGCTATCTCCCTCTATGTTCCTCTCTAACCCCCCCCCCCCCCCCCCTTCAAATGTTCTGTCTGTTTATCTACTTATTTTCTGCTATATTCTCTTATTTTTGCGGGCCTCTCTTTTTCAAGTTCTTTTTCAAGTGTTGCGAATGTTTTCAGTTTTTCCTAATGTTTGAACTTTCCCGTTGCACACAAACCGTCATTTCGACTGCATTATTATTAGGATTAAAAATCGGTGTAAGCTATAAACTTATTAAGACCATTCATATAAATGCCATGGGCGCACTGTTTATTTTGTCACTCTCACATTTCTACGCTAAAGACCGCCCAAATTGCTCGCTAACGCAGTATTACATCACTAATAACACCTCTTGTGAAACAGGCATATAAAACTGATACTTTGACAAATTCATATCAGATACGCCAAACGCAAATGTATCAGCATCAAACGTTTATACACCCTTCCCCCCCCCCCCCCCTCTTTGCTACCTCTTTTTGTGTATCATCATGATAATTATTACTAGTCATCAAATCTATTTCTTAAATCTTGATTCATACCAGACGTGACCGTGCGTGAAGTTACACCCACCATACAAGTTAAACACAAGACAACTAACGGTCACACAACACTGTTTCTTGCGGTAGAAGTCAAGTTTAGAGATGCCAAAGACAAGACAGGAGTGAGCGGCGAATCTCTCTGGGAGTTGTCTGCCTGGATTGCTCTTGTAAACATTTCTCACAGGTATGTGATTGTAACATCAGATGAAGAGTCATAAAACCTGTGCCAAAAAACAAAAACATTCTTGTATTACTCCAATATACTTTGTATTGGCTACTAACATCATTATCTCCTAAAGGTTTTAATTGAAACCTGTCTATTGAACGTAAGTTACCTTGCTTTTATGTTGGAATTGATGTTTTAATTATATATATATATCATTTCAAAATAAAACTTAAATTTTTATCTATGTTGTTCTCCTTTTTGAATAACTTGATGAGACGCAGGGACAGATCCAAGGGGGCACAAATTCGCCCCCCCCCCCACTGAGCGAATTTGCGGCTGGCACGATTTTCAAATATTCGGTACCCCCCCCCCCCCCCCCCACCCCCCCCCCAAAAAAAAAAAAAAAAAAAAAAAAAAAAAAGTTCTTTGTGCTCATTTTTGCATTCACTTTGGTCACTCGCAGTCACACCAAAATAGGTTTCACCGAGCAAGTTCTCAATGCTGGTCAAGCATCGCAGTGGTTCATCAAAGGAGATCAATTCATCTTTCGGGACGTCGTGTATCCCTTCGTAGCTCCCGCATCTTTAATGTGCGACGAGGCCGAGGTCTGTGTTGAGCTTAGACGTGGAATAAATGCAGTAACAACCGATGGTCGTCCTTTCAATTTTGACACACCGTTTATTGGCTGCACTTCACTGTGTACTGGTAAAAAGTATGCCAAGCTATGGAGGCCCGGGGTGGATGGGCGAATGGCAGGGAAGGGCCGCGGTGGACACAAGGCTTATCGGATGGGTTAAATACCATCAGTGCTAACATTGTTTATATGGGCATGAGCCGTTTGACCTTAGGGGAGGGCCCGGCCTCCACCCCCACTCAGTGTTTTTTTAGGGTACGCATATGCATGTTTCCTCCTTTTGAACACACCCCCTAAGTCCGGTGTGTAAAGTCAATACGGGCCGGATTTGTGTGTACTACGAACCGGACTCTGGTGCGTGAAAAATATCCCTTTACCGGACATTTTGGTAACACGCATGGTATCCCTCCCTACACGGAGGGGGCCGGGGAGAGGGGGTACTGTGATGGAGGGATGGGGTTTTTGCATTTATTCTCTACACTTTTGGGGGAGGGGCTAAAGGCGGATGTACGGGGGGAGGGGGTGCATGTGCATAGAAAAATGCCATCATGTGTTCAGACCCACACAGTATCCGCATCGTCATTGGGTCAACCCCCTTACCAAAAAGCTCGAGAAAAAAAATCGCCACTTCGCGGCTCGTGGACGATGCTCCACATCATCATTGAGTCACCCCCCCCCCCCCGCCTTAGCAAAACGCTAGATCCGCCCCTGCAAAGCCCCCCCCCCCTCTCCCTCTCTCTCTCTCTCTCTCTCTCTCTCCCTCTTTCAAAAACCATAGTTAATTGACCCGGTAGCAATAGCTAACTATGTCATTACTCTCACTGTGTAGGACGTGACTTATTCCCTTGTCCGGATAAAGAAGGAAAACATTTGCACAAAGATGTCTGGCAACAAGATCCGTGTACACAATGTACTTGTAACAACGGAACAGCTGAGTGTTCTACAAAGGAATGCCCCGGTCCTGGTTGCAACAGGCCTGTGAGACTTGAAGGCGAATGCTGTCTATCCTGTCCATATCGTAAGATATATCCTAAAGTTTAAATTATACAAATTATGAAGGATTGAAATATTACGCCTCCTGACTCCCAAGTACATAGCGGTGTATATAAATGTTGGTAAGATTAGGGTGGGGATGGGGGTAAGTTTGAACTTCCAGGTTTGTTTATGTGTTGACATTTAATTTACAAGAGATAAATCATGAAATTGTACATATTTTATATATATATTGGCGCGTACGCAGGGGGGGGGGGGGTTAGGGGGTTAAACCCCCCCCCCCCTTTGATATTTGTTATGTGTGTATTTTTAAGAACCCCCCCCCCCTTATGGCTGACCTCCCCCCCCCCCCCCAACGAAGACTGACTGAGTCGTTGCGATTTTTTTTGGGACAAAAAAAAAATCCTCTTACCCCCCCCCCCCCCCCCCCGTGAACATTATCTGTAGTTATTTTAATTATTTTTATCATTATTATTGTTATTGTTATCAATTTCATTATTATCATCATTATAATTAATAAACTTATTATTATTATAGTTGTAATTATTATTTCAATTGTTATTATTATTATTATTGATGTTTTTATCGTTATTATTGCTTTTCTTCTTCTTCTTCCTATTATAATTATTATATTGATCATTTTTATTATCATCATCATCATATTTCGTTATATCTTTATCAAATTAATATTTATTCATACAATAAAACTTATGTTATATCTTTTAAAATCTAACTTTAATTTCTTACCTTCTTTGTCGACCATAGAATCTCCCGACAATTCCGATTTATGGATAACACTGGTGATATCAACCAGTGTTCTCGTCGGTGTAGTAATCGTCGCCCTGACCATTGTTTGCTTGCGTCATCGGAAGTAATTCGAAACACCGACTGATTGTAATGCCCACCAGATGATTTCGACAGAATAATTTTGTAATGAATTCTTAAACAGAAAACTTCATGTTTCTGTGTTCTATATTTCGTTGAGCAAAAAATTGTATTTAAGACCTACCATCTCGGCAAAAGAGACCAGTTCGTAGATGGCACATAATAAAAATGACCCCAAATATCCACAGATCTTTTACCAAAAGAGTCATTCCACTTCGCGCATCTTATAATAATCACCACCAAAGTCAAAAATGTACTTCATAAATACCTTCTGTTCGCTGTCTTGAAAAAAGGATTTACAACAGTATTTCATAGAATTTACCGTTGGTGCATAAATTAATGATTGATACAAAACTTGCATCAATTTGTTGTACAATGTTGGTACAAATTACATTTGTCTCCCAATGCGCAGATTATACCTACCAACTGTCTTATTGCTCAGGATTTTTTTCTTCAAAGTCGTGATATATTAATAAGGAGTAAAAGTAAATCCTGTCAACATAGTGTATTTATTTAAACTCACATTTGGTCATTCAAATCGATCAGAAGGGCCTGTGGTGGCTTCAGATATTACCGGGTACACGTGCCCCTCCCCCTTCCCAAGTAAGGATAGAAAACAAAATAGAAGAGTCATGGGCCGATAACTAGTTTTATGTGTGCTTGTAAGAGGCTTTCTAGAATCCAGCCCCCTCCCCCTCTGTGAGAAAATCTTGACTCCGCCACAGAGGACCAGAACTCCAGATATGCCTATCGAGGTCCTTATTGGCAAGCTATTGATGGTAAACTCGATGTTTATCTCTCTTGAATTCATGAGATTTGCTGAGACTTGTTATTATGGACAAACCCATTTAAACTACGATGGCTGAGACTTCCACGATATCAGATTGAGGTAATTTCTATGTCCACCATCTTTTTTAAATGTGTGACAATAAAACGACGTGTTACGTAATCCGAACATGATTTCTATGGGTAAGGTATTATAATTGCCCCCTGGTTGGTTTTCCGAAATTAGCTACGATCGGGTTGTAAATCTGATGTTCCCAAACATATTTCATCACTTATATCATCATAATTGGGTTTGATATCAATATTAACTTTAATGATACATAGGCCTATCTGTCTTGGGCATGCGTTGTTTACGTCTGAAGAGTTGTAAAAACAAATACTAAAAGTACAAGAAAGTTTATTTCCTTTTTAACTTTCAAAAAATGAATAGTTGGTAGCTTATATTTAGGTTTCGTCGTATGCATGTAGGATGTTTTTTTCCTTGGGACCTAGTAAGTAGTAATTCCATTAACTTGGAATTAATAATGAATGAACTTAAATACTCGGAATACATTCGGCATATATTATTTATTGCTATGTCGGGCAAACGTGGGGCAATTTTTCAATTTGTCAAGAAAAACCTTTGATTGAAAATATGCACAGAATGTGAATATAATAACTTGATAAAGGACTTCGCATCGTACGTCACGTCATCAAAAAAGGGAGATGCCCATGTCGTGCTGAGAAACTTTGCATTAGGCTAAGTTTATGCCTGTCATATACACTTTGGTTGGGAATCTTGTAGATTAGTAGGCAAGAATACAATAAATCTCTCAGAATACCTTAAGTTATTTCCTGGGGAGGGGTTTCCTTTAACATAGTACCTATACTTTTTTTTCTTCAAATTCCGAAGACTGTTCTTTTAAGTAACAAACCAAAAAAGTACTTCAGCTCTCATGCCTTAATGTTCTGTTAACCGATTTTAAAAAGACTTATATTATATTGTATAAGCTGCTCAATTAGCTATTTTTGTCGTATATACATATATCGTGTTGTATAACATCAAAAACAAAAACAATTACTCTATCATATGATATGTATGTATTTAAACTTTTGTTCAATTTCGAAATGAATTTTGTAACCAATAGTTTGTACAGCTAGGGCCTCTCAGAAAGACAATTTTAATTACTGAGATGGTTACCCTGTTTAAATGGAACGATTAATAAAAAATTATAAAAATAAATGGTTTCCAGTGAATTGTTGCTATGAATAATGTAAATCATTGCTTTCTTTTAATTGGATTATGTTTTTATCATTTCCGCTCTAAATAATATATTTAAGAGGGATCTATCCTTAAGACTGGGAATTTGATTAATTGTTTTGTCTGTAGCTTGTATAATAATAATAATAAACAATATTTATAAGGCGCTTAATACTGGTGTCTCTAAGCGCACCATATTCTGACTTAACAATTATTTACCAAAACTTATAATAAACACACAACTTATACATCTGTTCTTTATTCAATAAATCATGCATATATAATAATAAAAAATAAGATAAGAGTGAGATCAAACAAACATACATACAAGAGGTCAAATATAGGATCAAACATAGGATCGAACAAACAAAAAATAAGACGGTGTGCACCTCCTTTGACCGACTCACAACTGCAGAATATTATTTATGAATTAAAAAGGTGCGTTTTCAGCAAGGACTTGAATTGGTCGAGAGAATGAATATTATGAAAGTGCGCTGGTAATTTGTTCCAAAGGATAGGGGCATTTACTGAGAAAGCTCGGTCGCCATATTTTGTAGCGGTACGAGGTCCGAGGGTTAACTGCAAGGTTGATGATGATCGAAGATGTCTTAAAGAACTAGAAGAACGTATGGAAATCAAATCTGAAAGATATTTAGGGGCTTGGCCATGGAGAATTTTGTATGTAAGAAGAAGAACTTTGAATGTGATACGATGGTGTATGGGAAGCCAATGAAGAGAACGCAATATTGGGGTTATGTGCTCAAACTTTCTCGAGAGAGTAACAAGCCTTGCAGCAGTATTCTGAATTCTTTGAAGTGGAAGTAGGGACGATTGCGGAAGACCAGAAAAAATTGAATTACAATAATCAAGGTGGGAGGATACAAATGCATGGGTTAATTTTGCAGTTGTGGGCCGGTCAAGTAGTTTCCTAATTTTCCCAATTTTGAAGATTCCAAAAGATGCCGATTTACATACGTTTTTAATGTGCTGTTGAAAAGTAAGATTTTTGTCGATTAAAACACCCAGGTCTCGAACGTATTCACTACCCTTCAGTGAGCCATCTCTGGTAACCAAGTCGGGGAAGGAATCGGTGTTTCTGAATTTGGAAGTAATGTGGATCATTTCAGATTTTCGTTCATTAAGGCAAAGTCTATTGTTAGAAGACCAGAACCTAATGTCTTCAAGGCAACTGCTGAGTTTCCGAGTCGCATCATCCTTCCCGTTAGGCTTAAGAGTTATATAAATCTGAGTGTCGTCAGCGTACATCGCATGTTGAATCCCATGGTGAGAGTTAATGACCTTAGACAGTGGGCTGGTGTAGAGAACGAAGAGAAGTGGGCCGATTACGGAACCTTGAGGAACGCCGCAGATCAGTGGAAATGTTGCAGAAGGCGTGTCGTTGATGATCACACGTTGACTGCGATTGTGGAGATATGAGCGTATCCAATCAAGCACAGTTCCGGTGATGAAAAAGTCATTTTCCAGGCGATGAAGTAACAGGGTATGGTCGATGGTGTCAAATGCAGCCGTATAATCCAGGAGGATGAGCACGGCTTCATTACCCTTGTCTATGGCCAGGAGAAGATCGTTCAGGACTTTAACCGTAGCAGTTTCTGTTGAATGGTGGTTCCTGTAAGCAGATTGATGAACAGGAAGCATGCCAAATCTCTCGAGGTGGGCCTTCAGCTGAGCAGCCACAATCCTCTCCAAGACCTTATCTAGGAAAGGTAGATTTGCAATGGGCCTGTAGTTGTTCAGTCCATTTGGATCAAGGTTCGGCTTCTTGAGAAGAGGAAGGAGTAGGGATGTTTTAAATGATTCCGGGACATGACCAGAAGACAAGGAGAGATTAAACATCTTGGTGATAACAGGGAGGAGTTCGTCAAGGGTGTCCTTCAAGAGCCACGTGGGAATTGGATCCAATTTACAGTGTTTAGATGGTAGTGATTTGATGAGCTTCCTGACTTCCGAATCAGATACAAGACAGAATTGGGAAAGTTCATGATCAGACGACGGAGCGCAATATGTGACTGCTGGCACCGGAACTGAGTCAGTGAAGGAAGATACCAAATTGGATACCTTCTCGCTGAAGAACCTAGCAAACCTGTTGGCAAGTTCACTGTCAGATGAGTGATCCGGAATAATTGAAGATTGATTTGGTGATGAGAGTGACTTTACAATGCTGAACAGTTGTTTGGTGTCAGCATCTGCAATAAGATTCTTGAGATACGTTGACCTAGCATTGTAGATGCATTCGTAGTAAGAATCGCATTCTCGACGATACAGTTCCCTGTCAACACAAAGCCCTGACTTGATCATACAGCGTTCCGCCCGGCGCCTTTGTCTCTTTGCCTCCCGCACGTCTTCGGTAAACCAAGGCGCTTTAGGTCTAATTGTGACGGTTTTGACTTGAAGAGGAGCATGCCTATCAATCAAAGTACCCAAAAGGAGTTGTATTGATCTGCAGATCTAGAGGGACATACAGGTTCAGAAAGTGGATGGAAGATCAGTTTAATGTCGTTGCGTAGAGAGTCCATATTGATGCTTCGAAATTTTCTGAAGCTCACTTCCTTCTTCGGGTTCTGGGGCCTGGTGAGGCTAACTGTAGCAACTAGTGCACAATGATCGGAAGGGAGTGAAGACAACAGCTTCACATGGTCGATGTCGTCTGAATCTCTGGTGAATAATAGGTCAAGGGTATGGCCTGCTCGATGCGTAGGTTCATGGACATGCTGCTTAAACCCAAGAGAATTAACTCCGCCCATGAAGGATTTTGCAAAATTATCATGGGGATCGTCAACATGTACGTTAAAATCACCTAAGAGTAGAGGGAAGTGATCGGTTACAGCAGCACCTTCAAGAAGAGTTAAAAATTCCTCACGAAAGGTGCTGTTAGAGACATTGTTACTTGTGGAGGGAGGACGATAAATACAGTACAATCTAGCAGCAGAAGATGGGGTAAGG